TTTGCTATCTGCTGCGTGCATCTGGAAGAGAAATTATAAAGGTTTTTGTGAGTAAAAATCTGAATGCAAGATTAGTACAAAATCAGTCGTAACCTTTTCCTAACGTTCAAATGAGGCAGCGGCGAGTTGGTATATTTGAATCAAAAAATATTTGTTGCACCGGGTGACCACACTACCAGTTAAGCCTCAGAAAAAAAGGATGCGACTAATTTTACACTAATCTTGCATTTAAATTTTTACTCAAAAAACCTTCATAGATTTTCGTCCAGAAAGATAGAGCAGATATCGAAGGCAGATTTGGAATCAGCGTTCCAAGCATTACAAGATAGTATACTCTCATTTCAGAAGGCCACTTCGACCAACCTTCCTTCCCTTGTTAGTGGTGCGCAACTGTGCTTTCCTGGGGAAAACACTCAGCACTCTTTATAAGGTTATAACAAAGGCCTGTATCATCTTTTCAGAGCATATGAGGTCATAAACAAGATTATTACTGTACAACCGAGTGTTTCAGGTGCTAAAACACAGTTAGAAATCTGAAAAAAAGTTTTATTGTAGCAAAGATCTGACTTATCTGCCAGCTAATCGACTTTACTCACAAACACTCGCAAAAAAAACGAATATAAGTTGAAGTAAGGAAAAAATTCAGCTGCTAAAAAGCTCCAGCAATTTGGACAATCACTTAGAGATCAGATCAAACCTTAGCTAGAAAAAAGCTAAGTGGCGACAATGCCGCCTGAATTGTTTGGCGAACACAGTTCTACGTATATGAATTACCGACAGAGAAAACAAACGGTAACAACTCTGTATGCAAGAAAAGAGCTCATTCGGTTTCTTTTCTGGCTCAGAGAAATGGCTCGAAAACATATCCTTAAACCGGCAACTCTAAAATTCTTTGTTTACTGTCGCTAACAAATGAATAATAGTCCAGTACAAATGAATTAAGTCGAATCAGTCTGACAAGAAGAGCAAAAGGTCTCTATTGGAGCACGTTACCATGCACAAAACCAAAAGATGGCATGCACTACACCCTTCCTTCCAGAATGATTTCAGCTTTTGGGAGTTACTGAAAAAAATGTGCAATGATAGTGAATTAAAAGCACGAGTCGAAGTGAAGGCCAAAGGCATTCAAGACGCTAAAACTACATAAAGGCGTAGAGATAGCGGAAACATTGGCGTGCTAATCGGTTGCAAAAACTTCTGAGCTTGTTGGCTCTCTCAATTCGCTGCTGTTATTGTAGCAAAAAACCGGTGCTCTGCATTTTAGCACAACTTTCCTTGCACACTGGGGTAATTGAGACAAAGGTGAGTTTATCATACAAGATATTGCAGCACAAAGAAGTCACTGACTCTCAAAAATTTTCCCCTTTATCGCCTACAATCACATTAGGCAAACTAATCTCACCAATTATGTTCGAACTAGGCGAATCACTCTTATTGAATATTTGATAAACCATAGTTTTGTAATTTTCGGCCTCAAAATCTAGTATTGTATTAGTGTGAAAGCCTGGCACGTGCTGCTTCTGAGGTAAGTAGTTGTTGATTACCGAAAGAGCCCGTTCTTTGCATAACTCAAAAGTTTCTAGGTTGTCGCATAATACCACTGGTTCCAGGTATCTTTCATAGAAATAAAGTGGTTCTCCGCCTTTTCCTCCAAAAAGGCAAACAATATACATTTCATCTTGAGAGCATCCAAACATTACCACGTCTTCGTCGTGTGGAATTTTTACCTAAAATAAATGCTTTGATTATATAAACGTAATGATGTGAGGGAGAATGTAAACCAGATTATTAACCAATACATAGGACAGAACATAGGTGAATTATTTTGCCTTGTTGCATCGAAAAAGTAGGAGCACATCCGTGCGGAAATCGAGTTCATGAATCTTGCTGATTTATGCCACAGTCTACTACATGTTTCGAGGAATCGAAAAGACATCTAGCTGACGAACGACAAAGTGGCAACTTTTGCGACAAACATGGACAATCCCAACCTTGTCTGCCCATCGAAAGCGGGACTATATAGGGTGTCCCAAAAGTATGTACATACTGTTTGATCGTTAATATCTCTTTTCCCAAGAAGCCTTTTGCCCACCTTTAGTTACCGTTTGATAAGGCTGACTTCAGCTTAGATTTACAGTATAGATCGAATCACCAATCGCTCTTCAATACTGTAGGATTACGGTGGGTTTTCACCTTACAGCGTCATTGTGGATTAACTATGTTTCAAAAAAAGTTCCCAAAATCTAGAAAGTGGTGTACCAGGGTTTTTACGCCCGCTGATTTCATTAGTCAACTTTTTACGAGTTTGCACAGCTTTTCAAATAGTGTAATCACGATTTTATGGAGCATTGTAAAAACAGCAATTGAGAAGGAAGCATTGCGGTTAAGTGTAAACTTCATATTTGGTTTTTTCGGCTTAAATAGCGTAGTATAAAAGTTTTCAGGTTGTTTGGTTTGCTTTCTGAGGCGAAATAGAGCTCCTAAACTTCTAATAACCCTTCCTGAAGTATTTATCGTAATCCTACAGTAATGAAGAGCCATTGGTGATTCGCTTTATACTATAAATCTAAGTTGAAGCCAGCTCTACAAGATGCTGCCTGGGCGTAGGCAAAAGACTTTTTGGGATAAGAGATATCAACGATCAAATTGTGTATGCATACTTTTGGGACACCCTGTATATCTCTGGAAAACAGCTTGCAGTTCAGAAATAAATTTTGCATTTTTCAACTGACGTACTTTTGTGACCGGCGATGGCATAGATGCAGTGACAAAAGAATGAACTTTTGTGCACTAGAATCTTATTTCTTGCTGAAGCTACACTATGTGCGGGCTATTGACATAAACTCATATAAAAACTTCACATTTGTATTAGGTTGATGCAAAAGTAACGCGCGTTTTGCGAAATCTCACTTTGACGTATCATAACTTTCTAAAAAGTCTGCATTTTTCAATGTGGCAAAAAACATCAGAGGTATCAAACCTTTGAAAATACAGCGCACATCCTGCTATTTTCATATCATCAACGGGCAAAAAAATATGGATTGATAAGTATAAAAGTTTTTTTCTGGAACTTCGTCTTCTACTGATCATAACTTTCTTCAGAATTTGTTAATATAGGTTATAAGCAGCCTATATCGTAGCCAGAAGCCAGTAGTACAAAAGTTGAAAAGTGTTCAAACAAAGAGGATCTGTGAAAAGGAAAAGATCAAGATCCAAGATTGTCCGCTTTTTGGACATTTTTTCGCAAGCCTAAAAAATCCTAAAATATGGAGTTTTTTGATTTTCTGCGTAAAGAACAGCTCCACAATTCTGTTAAAATGTTAATAGGACGCCCACCCTTACGCTTACAGAAATGAATAAATTTGGCGATTGCCCTCTTCAAAGGAAACTTACGGGTCAAAGAATGATCAAAACGACTGCTCATGTTGAGGCGCCGAAATCTCAGGTCTAGGTAACTTCTGAGAAAGTAGTAAAATGTGCATAATGTAGACAATTTCCATTAAATGCAGTAGCTGGAGTTTCAAAAGTCTGCCTTTATTCGGGCTTGATTTCTGGCTAGAAAAGCAAATGCAATGAATTTCTGCATTCGAGTGCAATTGTATGAAACTCTATTATTTTTTAGCTAATGAAGCTAGAAGCCCGCTTTAACACTATTGGATAGAGGATCAAAAGAGCTTCTTGATAGTATGCTAAATTTTTTCCAAAGAAAAAAGTTTGATGAAAAAAAGTTGTCCTAAAACAAGGGCTACGAAAACGCGCATTACTTTTGCACCAACCTACGCATTGTTATTTGTAGATATACAGTCAGCTCTTAGAAAATCAATTTTTGACTATCTTTGCCCTTGTTCACAAGATTTCCTCTAGGAAAAACAAACCAGCTATTGAGCAATAACGCAAAACGCTTCCAAATAACTAAGCCAGCCTTCTTCTCAGAATCTTAAGTTGGGACCTGGATATATAGTGAATATTGGATGATTAAGTTGTAACATAAATCTTGTTACATTCTTATTTCTTAAGGCGATAAGTGTACACTACATCTTTTTATAGGGCTTTAGAGTAACATAGAGCAAAAAAGCTCTACAAGATGGTTTCCGAAAGTTTTGACCAGCTTCGAATTAATGCAGGTTTGCATCCACCATTGAGTCCTACTGAAGGCTTCATATTTTCGTTCAAAAAAAATTGTACGGTCCAACTTGCTCATGCAATTTGCATAGAACATCAGATACTCATATGTACCGCTGCTGTATTTTCTCGCCATCGAGATATAGACAAAAAAATTCTTATGGTCATACAAAATTTATGCTGCTTCCACTCATGTGTATACTGCAAGCCATGGTATAACCGTAAATTTTCTACCTTCTACGGGCCCTAGTTTTCGAAAATTACTAAAATTCAGTCTCCTTAATCGGTTGTGCCATGCTGAAATCATTACTTCTCAAAAACTAGAGCTTATGAAAAGCTGAAAATTTACGGTTATACTTCTAAGGGCTTGTAGTATATAATTACATGAGCTAACCAGCATAGCTTCGTTTTTGTATGAGCATGAAAGTATTCGTTCGCTCAAGTTATAGATGAGGAAAAATACAGCAATACAGCAAAATTCATATGGGTGTCTGATTGCTGTCAATTTGTATGAGCAAGGTTGGGTATTCGTAGGAGTTTTTTTTTGAACGAAGATATTGTTTATCCCTGGTTGTTGAGCCTTCGGTATCACTCAGATTTTGGATGAAAGCTTACGGTGAGTCGAAGCTGGTGCAAACTCAACGCGTTTTGTGGAGCTAGCTTTGCTGTATTGAATGGTACCTAGAGCTGTATGAAAACATGGAATACGACTTTTCGCCGAAAGATGTCAAAGCGTAACAAGACTCAAGTCACAACCCAATACGTTGTGGGATTCTGAGACAGCCCTTTGCTTGAAAAATTTGAACACCGGATTTAACGTTATTTTTTGTAAACGTATCTTATCACAAATGACGCAGTATGTTGTGCTTTGAAAACGGTCACATCAAAAGCGCATGATGCAATTCCTGATAGCTTTGGCTCCTCACCTGATGCAGATTGCACAAAAATTTCCAGCTGACTTTTGTAGAGAGGTCGTATATATTCAAACCTCTGCAATTATTTGTTACTCACAATCAGAACAAACTTTATGATTTAATAGAAACATACCTTTTAATTTTCTTTCCTTCCGCCTTTTCGTGTATCATTACCGTTAGCTTTTGATCCTCCAGGTAATTGAAGCCCTTTGGCAATTTAAGGAAGCTGAGGGCTTTCTTAGTGTATTCGCACTCGTATTGCTTAAATGGTGTGACTTTTCAAATTCCTTCAACCTGTTTAATCAGATGCATTGTTTTCTTGTTCTCGAGTCAAAATTTTTGAATTATTTTTGAAAAAATATTGGCTTCTGAAATGAACTCCAGAAACTGACCACTCGCTTCTCCTTTTCGAACAGATCGTTCAGCTGCAACTGCATGTACGTATTGAATAGATCGTCGGGTTTCGAGCAGTCGAATAGGGGTAGCACCTCCTTTTCTTCTCCACTGTGTTTGACTTTGACGCTGATATCTCTTATTTCCTCTTCCGAAAAGGTGCGTCTCCCCTCTATTTCGTTTGCGCTTTGAAAATACTTTTCGTATACTTCATTCTCGTTAAAGAAGTCGTTCTGGTCGTTTTCATCTTCATCGATAAATTTGTTATCGCCATCTTCGTTCATGATTCCGTTCCTGGCAAATTCACTTTGGAAACCATTCTCAGAAATTCCATTCAAGACGTTTTCGACAGAGAAATCGTTAATGCCTAAATCGTTTTCTGATCGGGATGCGGAAGAGCTGCGCACAATAATCTGAACGTCTACAAGCATTTTCATCCAGAAAAAAAATCTAAACTTACAACAAAAGCAATAATGGCGAAACATATGTTCACTGGCTGCTTCATTCTATCAGTACAACTCGCAAATTCAAAACGGATTTGAGCCCAAATCAATGCCTTTAGCACTGCGCGGCATTCGCGATATCAATGTCCTTTTGCAGCAAAATACACTGAAATGCATTCGGCAAAACATAACGATCTACTCACAATTTTCCATGATTGAAATACTATATTTGGATAAGGTTCCTGCTGTTATGCTTCTGTCGAGTCGAAGTTCGTCAAACTACGCAGAACTGAGTCTCCATGACCAGCGTGCTTGCTATCGAGTTGTCTTAACTGTACTTTCAACAGCTGTGCTCGAAGTTCAAAGCATCCATGTGTCTTCCGCTCTGGTCCGTAGTTTAGTTTTCCCGCTTGACTGTAGAGTGCCTGTCATTTATTTTGATGGTTACGAAAACTCGGACAGTTGGGTTCCCTCAATCGGCAACATGAATGAGGCAAGATGCCGCTTGGTTGTGATAAATGGAAATTCTTGACCGACTTTCGCCTAAAAGTCTAGCTAATTGCGTAAATTTTTCACAAAGGCAGCAATTACGCATTTATAAGGACGATTAGTTTTTTGAAAAGAGAGCGTTTTTAGCATTAATAGTGTATTTTTCAGCAGCACTCAATTTTCCAGGTGAATGAGCATTATCGTAAATATTTTGTATCTTACTATAATATCTTTTGGTAACTGCCAAAGCGATGCGACGAGGGTACTCTCCTCCCCCATATGCTTTGCCGTTGTGCTACGTGTTCTCTTACAGTGTTAACAGCAGATTCGCGACAACGAGGGCAGTCCAGATTATGCGGCGACGAAATATAACTGCGATACATGAACTAACACGGATGTGCTGAGAAACGCCGAGAGAGTACTGGGGAGGGCATGCACTCAAGGAGGATCCATATAGTTTGCATAACAGCGACGTAGAGTTGACGGCGTTCGTAATTAGTTTTTCCAGACTGTATGCACTTTAAGTGCAAATTATAGAGCTTGCTCCGCATGGAAAGTGCAAAAATGAGCAACAATCGTCAAAGATCACCTCCTCATTTATAAACAAGCAAAGAAGGGACCAAGTGCGTGTCATGACAGAGCTCAAACAACAACCAAATATTGATTCCAGAGTACCGAATTAGTGCAAATGTCTGACCCCCAGTTGCTATCATAATTTGGAAAACTGTCGCCCCATTTTGCTTCCTATCCTGCCTAACTCCTTACAATCATTAGTTCTCGAAAAGGAGATTACGATTCTGAACATTATGAAGGTTAGGAGAATAAGATAATATAACCTATCAATTTTACGAGGATTCGCTTAAACCTCACTTTTGAATGCTTGTACTTTTTGAAAATATTGTTTTTGCCTCTGGAAATGGAAAAAACAGGGGGAGCTACGTCTCGGAAGAAAAGAACCAGTCGATTCATGCGGTAGTACATTTTTCTAAATTTCTAGCAACATTTTATTAAATTCCTAGGTTTAAATGCTGAATCTCACAAAAACCTGTTAAATGCTTATTTTCGGATGCTTTTACATTGTGAAAACATTGTTTTTGCCTCTAAAAGCAAATGAGCAGAGGGAGCTCGGTCTGCTGGAAGGAAAGACCCAACAAATCCACTCGAAAACACATCTTTCTAACTAGATTTTAATGTGAAAATTCACAGAAACTTGATGCATTTGTTTTTGGCGGCCTCACTTTGTGAAAACCGTAGTTTTGCCAATAAAAACAACAGAACAGAGGGAGCTTGTCTTAATGAAAGAAAACACTTGGTGTTCATGCGGCAGGATAATTTTGATATGATTCTCTAGGTTTCAGTGCTGAATCTCACAAGAAAGGCTTGAAATTCACTTTGGCCGCTTTTATCTTGCGAAAACCGTACTTTTGCTGTAAAAAGCAAAAGTCTCGAAGAAAGGAAAGCTTCAAGGACTTTATGCGGCAGCGCATTTAGGCTAAGGATTTCTCAGTTTCAATGCTAAATCATGCAAAAGCTCGCTTGAAATCCACTCTTGACTGCTTCTACTATGCAGAAAGCCTACTTCTGCTTCTAAAAGCAGAGAAAGCACGCCATTAGTCTTTGGGGAAGGAATACCCAGAGGCTTTATGCGACAGGACATTATTGCTAGGATTTTCCAAGAAAAAGCTTTGAGCGAATTTTGGTCTCTCTTTGAGAAATGACCGTTTCTTGGCGAGACACATAATAAGGAGAGTATAGGAATGTGCATGATCGCGTAGCTCGATGTGTTAGCGGCCGTTGCACAGTTCCTGAGTGTCAGCCTTAGTTTCGGATTGAATCAGCTGTTCTACATAGATGACTGCTGAGGTGATCTTCATGTTCAGGAGCTGTGGTATCTGGGCAGGGTACTTGCAAGAAAAACAGCGTAGATGATTTGGGAGTTATCATTGTTAAAAGTTTGCTTGAGAGCATGATCTTACTCTTACTACAACGTACTTACTTTGCGCCAGAGATCGTTGAGGAAATGGAAATGATCTTGAAATGAAACCTTGAAATGAGCCTGATCTTGCTTCTATCACTACCTGCATTGCGAAAAAGATCGTTGAAAAAATGGGAATTCATTTTCTTGCTATTTTTAGTTGCATACAAACAGTTATCAATGTATCTGCCCCAACCCACTTGCTAGCGACCCGTAGGGTCGTTACTGCCGCAGGACATTTTTGTTAAGAATTCCTTGTTTTCAAGACTAGGTTATAAAAAACCTCCTTGAAATCCACTTCAAGCAAAAATTCTTATGCTCTCGAAAGCAGAAAATTAAGGAGCTTTGCAAGAAGAACAGCGTAGATGATCTGGGAGTTATCATTGTAAAAAGTTTGTTTGAGAGCATGATCTTACTCCCACGACTACATAACTTACGTTTCGCCAAAAATCGTTGAGAAAATGAAAATTCATTTCTTTGCTATTTTAAGTTGCACGCAGATAGTTATCAATGTATCTGCTCCCACCCACTTACTAGCGACCGCTAAGGTCGCTACTGCCGCAGTACATTTTTCCCAACAATTCCTTGTTTTCAAGGCTGTTATAAAAAATCCTTTAAAGGCAGTGTCCGGGCAAAAACTCGATTTTGAGATTTTGTGCTTACTTGGGCCTTTCGCTACGCTGAATCCGAAAATGCACATTATAGAGCGCGAAAATGGCGAGAAACAGCTTTAACACAGAAGGGAAATGAGCAGGTGGGCGGGGTCCTCCCCACTGCGAATTCACGTTCCCGGCATCCGGAGCGACCTTCTCGCTTCCGGTTTCAAGTCAATCATTCGCACTTGACCGGTAGCGATGTTAGGACGGCTAGCGAAATCGAGAAAATCGCTCCAGGAGCCGGGAGCGTGAAATCGCACTGGGGAAAGCCCCGCCCACCTGCTGATTTCCCTCCTGTGTTAGGGCCCTTTTTCGCCGTTTTCGCGCTTTCCAATGTGGATTTTCGGATTCAGCATGGCGAATAGGCCCGTATAAGCACAAAATCTCAAAATCGAGTTTTTGCCCGGACACTGCCTTTAAATCCATTTTCCTACTTCGCGAAAATTATGCTTGTGCATCCAAAAGCGGAAAAGCAAAGGAGGCTGGTCTCAAAAGAAGGAAGAGCCATGGGCTTCACAGCAAGACCTTTTTGCTAAATTATCCAGTAGAAAGCTTTAGCGAGCTTTAGTATCGCTATAAGGGTGCCTTCATACCGCGCCGGCAGTCGCCGCTGGCAGCCCGTAGCAGCCGCTGGCAGCCCATCCGCTGGCAGCCCGTAGCAGCCCGCAGTAGCCGCCAGCAGCCCGTAGATCAACTGGCCGCTTTTGTCATAAAAGCGCAAAATCATCATTCTTGCTATTTTGAGCGCAAACGCCCACGCTTTCCATCTTCCACGCTTTTTCCTTCCTGATGTCGCAATTCGATCTCATATATCATACTTGTGGCCATTGCTGTTAAAATCTTGTTGCCGTAGATTGGGTTATCCTGTTGGCTCAGTTTCCCTTTCGCAATTGAACTATATTTCGCCAAAGTATCTTTGCGGTGTGATCGTCTGACTTTGGATGCGTCCAGTTTCTGTAGTGTTTATTTTTTTTGCATGGTTTATATCCTTGGCCGGTGCTTATCTTGAATAACTCTGTAATGTGTGAAAATGGAACTGCAGATCTGCCGCAACAGGGAGGAAAAAGCGTGGAAGATGGGAAGCGTGGGCCTTTGCGCTTAAAATAGCAGGGATTTGATGAGTTTGCGCTTTTATGACAAAAGCGGCCAGCGTCGGCTACGGGCTGCTAGCGGCGGCTGCCGGCGCGGTATGAAGGCACCCTAAGAAATGATCTCATCTATTGGGAGACATTATCAAAGTGTAGAGTTGCGCATGATTGCGATGGTCGGTGTGTGCGGCCATCGCCTGAGAAGAATACCGTAAGGTTCCATCATCCAGTGAACAACTCCATATTTTTCAGAATCGCTACAGGTAACCAAAAGTTAAAGTATGATTGTTGAAAAGCGTTCAAAAGAAGGAATAGAACTGAGAGAACTCCATGCATAAGCAGTGGAACTCACCGATCTTTGCTATCATGCAAAGTTCCGTTTTTGTTCGGAGATACTTCACGAAATTTGGTTGAAGTCGCTTTGAAAAATCATGACTGGGTTTTTTGTTACTGGAAGCTTTTTAAAACATGACACAGTTCCTAAAAATCAGCCTGAATTTCAGTTTGTATCAGATTTCAATGTAAAACTTATGGGAACTGCTGAACATCTGTTTTGGCTGCTTCTACTTTGTGGAAATTGTATGGGGCATTTGAAAAATCGTGACGATGGCGCGCAACACGCACGCACTCCCAATTCTTGATTTCTATCTCTACTCAAATAGTTTTTCCACTTACATATGATAGTATTCAGGTACTGGAAGTGACTAAGCTTAGCGTTGAGATGTTGCCTGTTTGTATGGGTGTTTTATCCTTCTATGTGTGGGAAGACCGCAGTCAACTCGTCGT